TAATATATTACAATGCCACCAGGGCAGTGATGCTGTGCTCACTTCACACATACAATGAGGTTTGGGGGATATTTCTTTATTTTTATCTTTCCATTATTCTTTTTAGGTGTTCAGAAATATACAAGCTATACTAATGTACATGCAGTAAAAATGTATTGTGCAGAAATTACAATTTTGAAAATGACACATCCTTTAAAATGAAACCATGGTGAGTTTGTTTTGCTAAAAGCTAGAGTTGAGTTGGTTGAATCAGACTTATAGCTCTGCAACCAGCAACGTTCTTGCTCCTTGCTGATTTTCAAATTCTAGATCTGACTCAACTAGGAGCGTGTCAAATCTCTGCAGCGAGACTGCTGCTTCCACATAGAGAACAGGGGCCATCTCTCCAGCAGGGGGCGGTCTTTTCACCTCAGGTTCTGGCAGCTTTTTTAAAATGAACTGTATGACCTTTTGTATTGATGCAGCTAGAATATGTTTAGTTTGTCTCAATATTCTAAGCCAGGGTAGAGCCAGGAATATGTTCTGTGCAGAAATGACAGTCCAGACAGATGGTGTTGATTGGTTAATAAATATATTTGTGCCTACAGGCTCCTTTAATCAAACCCTAGAATTGCATCTGACCCATGCCAGATTAATTGGGACAGGATTAATAATGGAACCTTAAAACCTTTGAAAGTGCCTGTTGGAGCTGGACTCTGTATTGTGTTTTTATATTTAAAAATTTTTACCTAAAAATTTGCAATTTTACAGTCAAATAATTAAATGAAGTGAAGGATATAACATTAACATCTCTGCATTTTCATCTTGTGTGGCTTAATCGTTCTGCAAGCAGCATTTCTGACATACAGTATTTTGACAACAACTTAACTTCCATAGAAATGAAGGAATTGCATAAAACAACAAATGCATTTTAATCCAGGAGTTACCCACTTCATCTGGAAAATGCACGAATATTAAATAATAAGGCAGAATTAAAAAAAATATATATTTACAAAATTGTATTTACAAATCGTTTCATTTATGTTTGTTGTATTCAGAATAATTTAATTTATTACACCTTGTCATTCATTTTTTTTCCCTTTTAGTCGTTTTTTTTAAATGTATTTTTTTCCTTTCTTTTTTTTCTAAATAATTTGCTGAGCTGATGAGCTTATTTTTCCAGAACGATTACTTGTGTTTCATTTCGGGTGTATTTTTATCTAATGCTTTTTTATTTAATTCCATAAACTGGTTTATGAAACCTGGGGTGTAGAAAACTGAGAGAAGATTGAGCATTTTTAAAGGGGAAAAATTCATTACACATCAGAAAGGGAATTGTCAGCCTCATTGATAAGAGTCAGACCTATAGTTTATACTAAATTCATTAATCAGCCCTGTGGTCTCAGCAAGTCCCATCCAGCAGCATTCATTGGCATTGAAATTCCATCCTGCTACTCAGAGAAGTCGGTGTGTCCATTGTGGTGTCCTCAGACTTGGGTAGTTGGTGCCCAGACTTAATCACCAGGCTCTAATACCCGGTAGAGGAGGCTGTAAATGCCCCTGCTGGGCACTGCCAGGAACAGCTGTGATGTTCATACTGACTAGCTGTAGGGATGGTGTGCCACCAGCCGGCACCATGGGTGCTCCCGAATAATAAGGATTGCTGTATCCACCAAAACAGACCGGGTAAGGATAGGAGCTGGCACCATAACTTGTATGGAAAGTCTGATTCCCAGCTAGACAAGGCTTCCCATCCCTGACCAGGACTGGCACTGCCACCCTGCGGGGAGGAGGAGGGTGCCCTGCCAGCTCAAGAGACCGGTCCTGTTTCTGCCGCTTGCACTTGTATCTTCTGTTCTGGAACCAGATCTTCACCTGGGTGGAAGTCAGCGTGAGAACTGATGCCAGCTGCTCCCTCTCCGGGGCAGAGAGGTACTTCTGCTGCTTGAACCTCCTCTTCAGACATTTTATTAATAATTATTCATGATTTAAAATATAACTTAGTCATTTAAAATGTTATAACCACCCTCCAGGAATACAGTATTTGGTTTAGTGAAAGTGTCTGGTTATTTATTTTGGACGCTTCCCAAATATCCTGAGAGTTGATACAATTGTAGTTGAGAAAAGATCCATTACATATGTAGTCAGTGTAATTAATTCTCATAACTCTGCCAAAAACGAATCCAAAAATATATTGGAGCTTATTATTGTGCTTGGGGACTGATTTCTAGAAGCGCCTCTTCTATAACCTGTGTCCACTTTCAGTTCTCAGGTTCGGGGTTTATATCTCTTTACTTATATATTTAATAACCCCCTAGATCCGGATTAGAGATTAAATTGAGGACGATGCTATTCTAAAAATCAGCCATATTCTGACAATTGTTATAAATAATGGGAAAGTAGCAATAAAACAACATTTCTTCTTCTACTTCTACCATACAATTATTACAGAATATCAATTTCTATGCAGAGGTCCGTAATTTTTTTTTTAACGATCGTTTACCTTGATGCATTATAATATGGTAATAGGGTGGACCTTTCAAATTAGTTTGAAAAATGTAATTAAAAAAATTATTCATGATGAATTGCTGTTATCTAATTCATCAATAATGATATCATTACATATTATATAATTCAGTAAACGAATGTTATGGCTGAGTTAGTTGTTTTATGTTTTCGATGAAACGTCAGTTGTATGAATATATATATTTATGTCTATATATATCTCTATCTATATCTCTATATATATAGATATAGATATAATATATATCCCACTGTACCCAATGTAATGATACATGTACGTACAACCTGCTGAGTTCTAAATATATAAATATATGCTATACAAAATAAATTTTATTTTATGTACAGTTACACGTAGATGGAAGAAGCACCGAAATATCCAAATTATGTAATTAATAGAGCTTATGGGCAATGTTATACATCACCTATGTTTGTAAAAACCAACTGCATATCTTACATTGTTTTTAAATATTTTTTATATAAAAACATGAAATATATGTTTTTTTTGTAAGATTGTGTTAATAAGTTTATGAATCCGCTTCCTGTGTATTTGAAAGCTCAAATACATTTATTTACTGACTTATTTCAGATGGAAATAATAATAATAAAAAAAAACAAAATGTGTGAATACAAACTGAAATCATTGCGCGCATTCAGTAAAATAAGTGATTGGCTGCATTGGATTGCAGATCTATAGATAGTAGTAGAAGGTTTATATATGATTAGAAAACCTCCGATCATTGATTAGTGCCTGTGGTGGGATTTGTCTTTCAGGACAGGTTTTTATGTTGTATTAAATCTCCTTTTTTATAAGACCCGATCTTGTTACTTTATATATCTATGTCTGTGTAGAGAACAGGATCTTATAAAACCTGCTACATTTTCCTAAACATCGTGCTTGTCAAATCTTGTTTCTATTGAATTGTAACAAGAAATCTGCATTTTAAATGTATATTTAAACTCCAATATTGTATATGTAAATTGATATTTAAACTCCAGTTACTTATATTTACAATTATTTTTAAACTAAAATAATTTATATTTAAATTGACTCCAATTATTTATATTTGCCTTTATATTTATACTACAATAATGTATAGTTACAAACTTTTATAGTTAAACTCCAATATTTATATTTACGGTAAATGTACAATTATTTATATTTACATTTATACTCCAATATCTTATACTTACATACATTTATATTTAAACTGTAATGTTAATATTTACATTTACTCCAATTATTTGTATTTACATTTATATTTATACTCCATTGGGTACAATTATATTTAAACTCCAATATTAATATTTATCATGACTTCAATTATTTCTATTTGCATTTATATTTATACTCCATTGGGTACAATTATATTTAAACTCCAATATTAATATTTATCATGACTTCAATTATTTCTATTTGCATTTATATTTATACTCCATTGGGTACAATTATATTTAAACTCCAATATTAATATTTAAACTTACTCCAATTATTTCTATTTGCATTTATATTTATACTCCAATAATTTATACTTATATACATGTATATTTGAACTCCAATGTTTATATTTAAATCTACTTCAATTATTTCTATTTGCATTTATATTTATACTCCATTAAGATATACTTTGATACATTTTTATTTATATTCCAATAAGGTATACCTATATACATTTATATTTATATTCCAATAAGGTATACATATATACATTTATATTTATATTCAAATAAGGTATACATATATACATTTATATTTATACTCCTATATGGTATACTTATATACATTTATATTTATACTCCTATATGGTATACTTATATACATTTATATTTATATTCCAATATTAATATTTAAAATTAATCCAATTATTTATTTTTATACTCCATTAAGATATACTTTGATACATTTATATTTATACTCCAATAATTTATATTTATATACATTTACATTTAAACTCTAAATTCCAATAATGTCATCTATTTCACATATAATATTTACTTCCTATGTGCAAACACAACATATGATTATAGTAAGACAGGCAGCATTACCTATAATCTCCAGTAATGAATGGGATGATTTGTAATTGTAGCAATTTCACCTTTTTATTACTACTAAACAATAAATCCAGAACTTCTATTTAATTCTACTCCTGAAATAATTCCTTGCCCTTGGCTTTCTAGCTGGAGAAGCACTATAAGTGCCAGCATGGCCTTCCAGGCCATGACAGACTGCCCATTGCTTTATTGCAATGTATATTAATGGGTTTGTCTTTATGATGAGAGTAATTAGCACAGACTGTGGAATGTACTATACAGTGCAATGATTACCGTACTGTCTGTAATATAGGGTCATTCCCAGCCCCTGCACTCACTTCTCTCTTGGGTTTCTTCGTCTTCCTCTCCCATTGGGGACTGGCAGGGGAGCCCCAGGTCCTCAGTGTCCCTTCCTCTGTCCTGTCCCTCTGTGCAGGGTGATGCCTTCACCTGGCCTGCAGGATGCTGCTTCTCCAGCTTCAGGATGTCCTTCACTGAGAAAGGGGTGGAGGTGGCAGGACTGGGGAGCATTCTAAGGGGCTCAGAGTCCTCTGAGTCCCCAGTGTGTTACTGGTTCAGCAGATGAAACCTCTGTCTAGGTGCTTCCTCTGATTTCTGCACAATGAACCTTTAGTAGAGACTTTTCAAAGCATCTCTGATCCCATTGGCTGATGTTCTCCTCTTCAGTCCCCCTCCCCTCCGCATTGCATTCATACAGACCCATCCACAGTCCATGTGTCCACATAAAGACCTGGGTAGCTCATAGAGGATGAGACCTGTACATTAGCCAGATTTACAGCAGAGATACAGCCGGGAAAAGAAAACAGGAAGGGGAAATCACAACAGACAATTGACAAGTATTCAGAATCAATTCCTGCTGATTATCTGGACCTGACTGATATGGAGAGGAGCCAGTTATAGCACATGTGGTTCCTCGCAGCAGGCGTATATTTGATTTATATATAATAGACTTCCTGTAGTATCAAATACCATCAATATTTAAATTCTATCTAAAGTCACATTTCTTTGGTTGTGGATAGCATAGGAAACTGTGAGAGCAAAAATGAAAACATTGCTGGGTTGGAAATGTTCCTCTCCCCCAGTGATTTTTTCTATTTGTGTGCACACTGTATGGCACATGCACCACACAGTGCACACACTCAGCTACCTAATGAGCTGCATGCCAGGGAGGACGCAACTAGGGCGCACATGAGTTACATCATCAGTGACCCCCCAATGGCTGAAGAGGACTTCTGAGAACCCAGAACTGTTGGCGGCTGAGATGGCGGTGGCAGTTGACAGCTCAGACGATCGAAAGATCGATCCAACAGCACCGTAGAAGAGCACACTTAGGCTTGGTTCACACCATTTTCAGGACCAAATCTGGAACACCACGCATCACGTTTTTGCAGCGATTTTGCTGCGCTCCGGAGCTTTTTGTGTGTGCTTTCTTTTTGCTTAAAATGGGCTTTCATGTGTGTTCCAGTGCGTTCCATGCATTTTTGGTGCGTTTCTATGCGTTCCAGTGCATTCCAGACCAGACAAAATGAGACCTGCAGTATTTTTCTGGTCTGTTCCGGAACAGACTGCGCTGATGGGAACAGAGGCCAGAAATAGCATAGGGATACATTAGGATGCATCTTGGGTCCGGAAACAATCTGGTCTGGTCTGGGGAGGATCTGGATGTGGTGCGAATGGGCCCTTATAAGGTCAGCGTGCCCTCATGTGCAGGTATAATGTGAATGCTGGCACATTAGGGCAAAAAAAAAATACAAAGAGGTTAGTATTAAACTCTCAAACTTTTTTAAATAATGAATCCAAACAAATATACATCACCCAGCCAAGTATTTCTTTACATTTTGCACAAGCACTTACAGTCATCATGTTTCCAGTCAGCTCCAGCTCTCTCAGCTTCCCTGAACTTCCTGTCCAGTACAAGATCACAAGGGACAGCTGAGTCTTCAGCAACTGTTCATCTACAAGCTTGGAGAACATAGGAAGGAGAAGAAGAGAGCATGGGGAGGAAGTGTCTTGCCTTGCTGTGCTTGTGTGTTGGTGGAGACACACGCAGGTTACTAGCACACACAATGGTAGCTACATAGGACCCTGTAAGGGAAAGGAGCCAACCTGAAAAAGGATATCAGGAACCAGTCCTCAGGGGACCAGCTGATTCTGCAGGAAACGTTTACACATTAAGGAGCAGCATCCATTGTAAGTGATTTATTCAGCATTTGAAATAGATTAAAAACATTTTGTGAGGAATTTATTACTTAGAGATATTTATATATTTATAATTTTTATACCACTTATTTAATAAGTCATTGTTGGATTCTCACTTCACTCCAGGAGACCCATAGCGCTCACTATTCTAAAACCAAACAAAATCTGGAGCAGGTGCCCGTGGCAACCAATCGGCTTCTCTCTTCAGTTTGTTCAGTTAAGATTTGAGAATGAAAGAGAGAAGCTGATTGGTTGCCGTGCACTGCTGCTCCAGTTTTGATAAATCCTCCACTTTACAAATTCTATCAGATTTTATTTCTGACTGTGACTGCATTGCAGAGATTTGTCCTCAATGTTTGTCAGTATGACACCCATACAGAAAATTGGGGGTGAGGGGGTCACCAGAACAGGAAGCAACAGACAGCAATAAAAAGTTTTACCCTTTTCTATTCTTATAAAATGGGAAGGAAAATCTCCTCTGATAGGTACACAGATGGCAATAAAAGCTCTAAGCCGGGATAGGTAACTCCGGCCCTCCGGCTGTGCTTTAACTACAAATCCCAGCATACCTGTGCCTGTGGGAGTCATGCCTGTAACTGTCAGTCTTGCAATGCCTCATGGGACTTGTAGTTCCACAACAGCTTTAGGGCCGGAGGTGCCCACCCCTGCTCTAAGCCATCCATCCTCCTCCTGAGCGTTAGCAGAGTTGAGGTTTTAGAAGCTCTAAAAATCCACAAGCTTCTCTCTCCAGTCCTGTCTGCGGTCGCTGAGCCCCCCCCCCCCCCCCCCCCCCCCCCACCCCACCCCCATGTTGT